CGATGAGTCCTTGCAGGAGAATGAGACGGCGCCAAGACAAAAGACGAGAGCTGGGTGAGCGGCCAGCCAATATTAATAGTGACGGCTTGCAAAAAGCGCATGACGACACGTAAGTTAGGCGTGGGCAGGGAGGGAAGGGGAACCGAATCAACCGATTGAGCCGATGCTGCTCGTGCTTTGTAAGGCTGAGACCGGGATGAGGGGCGATGGACAGAGTGTTGTCCAGTAGCTGTACGGAACTAGAGCGACAGAGGGCTGAGGGTAGTGGGGGAGGGGCACTGGACAGCTACAGCTTCAGAGCTCCAGGCCACCAAACCGCATCGCTGGGCCACTCGATCGGGTGCTTCTGCGCGCATGTGCCCCTCCATACTCAGACAACCTAGCCAGTCGATTCCCCCCTCCAGGACAGAAAACATGGAGGCCGGGGCATTTTGATCCTCAGGCAGTGGCCTACGTTGACGCGTACGCGGCCGCGACGGGGGGGTTGGCCCATGGCTAAGCCCGATCGAGGGCGCAGACGATCGCAGACCGCTCCAGCAGGCCAGACCATCACCACCACACCCCGGTCCAGGCGTGCTCCCGACCGTCAAAAGGGCCCTCCGCTAGGTCACCCACATTCCGCTCGTGGCAGTCCGCTCACGATCCTCCCGCGTCCAGGTTGACAAATGGAGCGTCCAAGTCCCAGATTATTCCTCGCAGGCGTCGTCATGTTGCCGCACCCCTTGTCTGCCAGCACCGCAGCGCAACCGTCAGCCGCTCAATGACGGTGCCTGGAATTTCTTATCAGAACGTCATGGCCGACCTCAGCAGCGCCTGTGCCCCCCGGAGGCTTGCTGCAAGAGAGAAGGCACAGATCCATCATGAGATAGAGTCAGAGTTGTCTATACGCCAGCCAATTCCCTTATTATAGTCTGTTGGTCCGCCCCCTCACGATCAGATATATCCTTGATCAACATGTCAATCATCAAGATGCCCCGAGGCAAGGAAGATGAACAACAACAGGAGAAGCAGCAGCAACAGCAGCGGCTCCCAGTCAACCCTCGCCGTCACAAGGTCCCTCCAGCTCAGCGCAAACGTGTCGCTCAAGCGTATGTCACTCCCTCATCTAATCAGACCAGACCAGAGTGTCATCATGATCCATACTGATGCCCCCCCAGATGCAATAGCTGCAATCTCCGACGCACAAGATGTTCTGGCGAGACTCCGTGCAGTCAATGCGCCGCCTCATCACGAGAGTGCGTCTACCCAGGCCCCTCCGCCAAGGTCTTCATCTCCCGCACAGAACTGGACGACCTGAAGCGCCGGGTGGAGGCCTACGAGAGGGCTCTGCAAGATGTCATGCCCGATGATGACAAGCGCAAGGAGTTGGTTGCCCGCCAGGGCAGCTTCAGCACACCTTCGGAGACATCCTCGGCCTCCGCATCGCAGCAGCGGTTCCCCAGCACCAGCCCGTCCAAGTCCGACGCCATGACACCCACCGACGACGGCGCCGGCCCCTTCTCCGAGATTGAGGGCCGGCTCCTACACGACAACCTTGGCACCGCCCGCTTCCATGGCGAGACGGGCGAGAAGGCCTTTGTCGACAGCCTAAACACCTTTCTAAGAGGTCTCCTCCCCACCAGTGACTTGTCCACACTCCCCTCCTCTGTAGGAAGATGCGAGACGTCAGACTCGCGGCCTCTGCCGTCCATCGTGAATGTTGACCCCCGCTGGCTGCCCCCTCCCAACACCACGCGAACGATGTTGAGCGTGCTGAGATCCTTTATCCAGGACGGCAGCGATGACCGGCCATCCCCCACCGGCGGTATCTACTGGTGGGGCGATCTCCGGTCCGTGCCGTCCGCGACGCCGTCCATCGGCCACGTCGAGGCAGATATCCGCAATGCGCGCCGTCTTGCCTTCTATCAGACAGCTCTGGGACTGGCCTGCCGCATCGTCTCGACGGGGACCCCCACGGTCGGCCAGATTCCAGATCGGAGCGAGCAGTTCTTCGCGCGGGCCACGGCTCTGCTGGGGAACCCGCTCGACGTGTCCCGCCCGTCTGTCGGCGAGATCTCCGTCCTCACCCTCATGGCATTCTTCCTTCTCGAATCGGACAGGAAAGAAGCAGCAAGCGTATATATAAGTGTTGCGGTGCGCCTAAGCGCAGCCCTGGGTGTCACGCAGGGATTCGTGGAGGAGAGGGGGAAACGGATCTTCTGGACTCTATATGTACTAGACCGGTGGCTTAGCTACCTCCTGGGTCGGCCCCCGACCATTTTGGATGAGGCTATACAGTTGCCTCTCCCTGCCGATGCACCGTACGTATCTCTCTCTATCTATTTGCCCGAAAAACCTTGCCCTCCCACTGCTTGCGCGGCCGGTCCCCCTATATTACCCCACTCTTGCTAACATCGCTCCAAAAACGCCACAGGTCACTCCCTCCCGCGGCCGGCCTCAAGGCCCATATCAGTCTATCACGTATATCCGGGCAGATTGTGAGCAGTCAGCTGTATCATCCATCGCCCTGGCGGCAATCCGGGGATGACTCTGTACTGCCCACGGATACCGCCATCTCCATGCTGGACCAGTGGCTGCACAGCCTACCCCAGTCCCTCAGACTCTCCCCGGAGGGTCTCAGCAATGACGCGGCCACATGCATGCTGCACATGTATCACAACCAGCTCAACATCCTGGCCCTCCGACCGTCCCTCCTCTCCATGGTCAAGAACAGCCTCCTCCCCCAGTCCCCCTCCTCCTCCGTCCACTCAAACCTCCCGCCCTCGTACGCCCGGGACTGCCTGGCGGCAGCCGAGCGGAACATGCGCCTGGGTCGGCACGTCGCCACCCTCCACCGCCCGCGGCGCCTGCTCCACACGGGTCTGCATTTCATCTTCAACGCCGTCCTCTGCTTCTTCCTGCAGTCCCTAACAGGCAGTGTCGACGACGGGTCCTCCGCCGCCGCCCGCGAGGTCAAGTTCGCCATCGAGCTGTTCGACCGCGAGGCCCAGACGGGCAACATGTACGGCATGACGTGCTCGCGGGTCCTCCAGGAGCTGCAGTCCCTGGCGGCCCGTGTCCAGAACCGGTCGGCCACGCCCATGGACGTGGACCAGGTGTTTGAGGAGATGGGGCAGAGCCCCGCGTGGCACGCGCTGTCGTCGAGCAGCGTCTCGGAGGGCGGGCCGGTGCCGGAGGGCAGCGGGGATGCAGCGCTGTTCGACGAGGTGGTGTCGTGGATGGAGAAGGATTGGGCGGCGTACAATATGGACCTTTGAAAGGTGGTCACTGGGTGGTAATGATTGGTGTTGATCATCACGTTTGGCTAATAGAGGACTACGCACATGTATAATTATTACCATTATAATGACACAGGGCTATTAATCATGATCTTACCCATGCAACTGTCCATCAACCATGGTGCAGGGGGGAATGATATGGTGGTGTCGTCCACTTACATACTATGTATATCGCCTCAGAATATCCAAACTCAAGGGTAAGGATGAACGTACGAAGCATTTACCCCACCGCGGGGATGGAAACTCAATTGAACAGGATGCCCACTAGCTGTAGTTAGTATCGGGGATGTGACCTCATTCAGCCCATACCTTGTCAATTTCCCGTCGAGGGCACCACCACCTCCAAAGCACCAATCCGGCACACCAGACACGAGACATGGCGTTCCAAGGGCCAATTCGCTGTATGGCAGCTCGAGCTACGTCAGCTCGCAAAGCCCACCTCCGTTTGTTTGCATCGACCGCCCGCTACGCCCAGGATCTGAAGAGGCGCGCCGTCGTGGGCAGCTTCCTCCTCCGACGAGATCCAGATGGCGTCCCAGAGGTAGCCCTCTTCCGACGCACCAACAAAGTCAACACCTACCAGTAAGCCTCCCCTACATTCCTCCCTTCCTCCTGTTCAGCGATTGACCAACAGGCACAAATACGCCACCATCTCCGGCGGCATCGAACCGACCGACCCAACCCCCCTGGCCGCCGCCAAGCGCGAGCTCAGAGAGGAGACGACCCTCGACGCCGTCTCGGACCTGCGCTTCCTCTGCCGCGGGGCACCCTACTCGTTTATCGATCGCAAAGCAAACTACGAGTGGTCCGTCCACCCGTTCGCGTTCCGCCTGCCACCCGGGTCCGAGCGGTCCATCCGCCTCGGGTTCGAGCACGAGAGCTACAGATGGTTTCCGGCAGATCAGATCCCCGTCCCCGAACTAGCGGCGGGCATCGTCGAGAGTCTGCGGCGTGTCTGGCCTGAGGGCCCGCTGGGTCGGGTCGGGGCGCTGTCGCGGTTCGTTCTCCGGGAGGATGATGAATTGACTAACAGCAGCGTCGATGCGGCGTGGGGGGCGTTTGCGCAGGCGGCGGGGGAGAGGCTGGCGGAGGGGAGGGAGGAGTGGTGGCGGCTGGTGAGGCTGGCTGGGTGGCACGTGTGGAATAACAGCGATGCGGCGGTGAGGGGGGAAGTGCTGGGAAGGGTGGTGCCTGCGCTTGGGTTTGTTCGGACGCTGGTGGAGGAGCAGGGTGAGGTGCTGGCGGAGGGGTTTGAGAAGCTGGTGGCGAGGGAGCTGGAGAGTGTTAGATTGGCGAGGGAGGATGATGGGCAGATTGCTGAGCTTTCGGATCGGCTGTTTGGTGATCTGTGGGAGGTGCCGGAGGAGGTGAGGTAGTGGGACAAAGGGGCCGTAAATATTTGCGAAAAGAGGAAGGTGATAGATATGGGTAATGACTTATGAGGTTCGTAGAGCTTGGATATAATCGAATATTGCCAATTGGCCAGGGATGGTTGATCAAGGTGAGTCTTCGGGACGTAGCCGAGTCATGATGATGCTCGGTAGATTGCCGATAGAAGTCATTTGTCACGTCAACTCCACATGATAGGTGAGATACTAGATGATAGATTGAGTCATCACGCTCCATGGGCATATATAAGACCAGCAGGTGCTCAACGGGATCATTTTCTTAAGTTTGATATACTAGCAGAATTACAACTCACGACACATTGCAAATCTCAAAATGGCCTCTTCAACAGGCCCTCGCATGGGATGGATCGGTATGAGATACATCCTTCAGTCTCAATATCAACACTTTTTCTCTCATCTAACCGCTATTTCAATGTCTAGGTCTGGGATCCATGGGCCTGGGTATGGCCTCAAACCTCCAGAAGCATCTGTCCAAGAGCCGCGACATCCCACAGCTCACATATCACAACCGCACCATGTCCCGCGGGGAGCCCCTCCAAACGCTCGGCGCCTCTCCATCAGAAACCATCCGTGATCTCGTCGCCAACACAGACATCATCTTCATCTCGCTCAGCGACGATGCTGCCCTCTCCCAGACCCTGGACGGTCTCCTAGCCGACGGCGCAGCAGAGCACCTCCACGCCAAAGTCATCGTCGACACATCCACAGTGCACCCAGACTCATCCATCAAGGCCAGGGACCGGCTCGCAGCCAAGGGCGCCCTCTTCGTCGCCGCTCCGGTGTTCGGAGCGAGCCCCGTTGCCGTTGAAGGCAAGCTCCTCTGGATCATGGCCGGTCCCAAGATCGCGATCGAGGCCGTCTCCCCCTACATTCTCGACATCATGGGCAGGAAGATCATCCAGATGGGTGAAGACGTCAGACAATCCAGCCTCCTCAAAACCGCAGGGTGAGAATCTCTTCCAGCCAGAACACATACGTTGAAGAAGATGATGAAAACTAATCCATCCCAGCAACTTCGTCACAGCCGCAATGATGGAGGTCGTCGCCGAGGCGCACGTCTTCGCCGAAAAGACGGGCCTCGGCGACGACGCCATGTCCGCCCTCTTCGAGTTCCAGTACGGGCCCCTCGCGCACAACATGTCGCGCCGCCTGATGAGCGGCGCCTACATCCCCGCGCCTGGCGAGCGGCCGTGGTCCGACCTGCGTCTTGCCCTCAAGGACGTTGCGCACGGTGTGCGCTGCGCCGAGGACGCCGGTGCGAGACTGCATGTTGGGGAGCTGGCGCTCAAGCATCTTCAGGAGGCCAGTCGGGAGGAGAGGCCGCTGGATTCGTCCTCCCTGTATGGCGTGTTGAGAAGACAGGCTGGGCTCGATTTCGAATCGGACTTTGTCAAGGAAAGAGATGGATCTAAATAAATAGTAAGGGTGGGATTCTGGGTTCTTTGAAGGAGTTTAAGGGTAGCATAGATATGGCGCTTCGCTATATACACGGAAAAATTACAATTTTCTTTGGGTATTCAAGGCGGTCATGATGCGTCCGACTTGTCAACGAGCTGGCTCTTCAACCCGTCTCTACCAACCCGCATTGCCATTTCAACCTCTCGCTCTTCTTCTCGCAGATTGGCCTTGGCCCTCGCCACGTCTCTCTCCCTCTGCCGCCTGGCGTCATCCGCAGCCCGGTCTCGGTCTCGTAGCGCCTTCTCCCGTCTTTCTCGTTTCTCTTTGGCCTCTAACGCCGCCTGTGCATCGTCTGCGCCCTCATCTGGAGGCGGACCTAGGGTCTGGACATACGCTTCAATAAGCGGGTCCCGCACCGCCGGTTCCAAGGCAGCATACCGTGCATCAGCCAAGATTTGCGTCGGTAGGACCGGGAACGACTTGTTGTTGAGCACATGGATGGGCTGGGCTTTGAGAAGGGCGTTTAGGTCCGCCTTCCGAGTCGCCTGAGGTTGCTTCAGCCGGTTAATGTGATCTCGGTATGCCTTCTCCCGATCCTTGTCGGAGAGGTTCATATCCTTCATGGGGGCCTCTTTTTTGTATTTCCGTTTGAATTCAGGCCAGTAGAGCTTCGGTGTGGCCTTTTCTTGTAAGAAAGCCATGTATGCGACACGGGGGTCCTTCTTCTCCTGGCGCGCCCGCAGCTCCTTTTGCAGGTTGATCTTCTCACGCGACCACTCGTCCCAGCATTCTCTTCGCGCCTTGGTAGTGCTGAGGGCCGTATACCGAGGGTCCTCGATGATTTTTCCTTCCTCCATCAACTTTTCCCAGGGACTGAATGGGTTGATGTTGAAATCATCCAGCAAGTCTCTAAATAGAAGCTTAGCATCCTCTTCGGAAAAGTCCAAGCCCTCTGCGCCTTCAGGCCAGTCCTCCATGTTTCCGTCATCGTAGTCCCCAGGTTCCAGGCCGTAGTCTTCGCCCATTGCTTGGAGCTGTGCCATGATATCCGCCTCAGTGAATTCCACCGGCCCTTCATCCCCTGGTTCCTCTGTTCGCTGTCGCTTGGTAGGGTGCTCCCCATCCGCCTCTTCTTCATCTGCCTCGTCGTCTGTAACTTCCACTTCCTCGTACTCGGAGCTATCCTCGGCTCTCTCTTGCTGTTGAGCCTGTTGCTGTTGAGCCCCAGTGTCGGCAGTCTCCCCAGCTTTTTCAGCCTCCGCAGGCTCCTCTTTGGCCTGGGCTCCCTTAGCCTTGCCACGTATCCTAGCTTTGTCGAGCTCCAGAATAGCAGGCATCAGCTTCTCGGGTATACGCCAATAACTCGCATTCTTCACCGGGTTGTACACGAATCGCCTCGAGTACTTGGTATAGACCAGGATCCACGGCTCGCAGCCAGGAATCGCCTCTTTCCTCCGTGGCTTGTCGGTGGGCTGTGGCTTCGGTCGTCCTTCATGGCCGCCTCTACCTCCTCCACGACCTCCGCCCCGACTGCTATGCGATCCACCTCTTTGCGACGGGTTGAGCTGTGCCAGGTACGCATTGGCGACTTTGGGGTCGGAGAGGTTTGGGACGTTTCCGTAGGGTACGTTCGGCGTCGTCTGGGGGGCAACAACCTGCGGCGCGCCGGGGCGGGTGTATGTTGATACTTTGGTCTCTGCGTTGTAGTAGTATGTGTGGCCGGTCGGCGCCTTATGTTCAGACCAGCCAGGAGCAAGAGGCGCCAGCGCCTGGGCTGATGGTTGGTATGTCGACCTGAGGCCACTGGGGCCAGACCGTGGTTTATCCATCGTTTCTAGCTTGTTCAATTCCAATGGTTTTGCAAGCTTGGTGGCGACCAGATGTATGGTGCTTGGTTTGAGTAAGCCCTGGGCCGGAGCTAGAACTTTTTGTGACCAGGCAGCTGAACAACAAAAGATAGCCTTTTCCAATTGGAGGGGCACGTCACTGCGCAGGTCGTGTCCACCAGATGATCACCTACCCTACACTGAGGCTTCTCAATACTTGAAACCCTGGATGAGCAGCAACAATAGTATGAGACGTCCAAATCTTGGTTGAATACATCACAGGGCTTTACTTTGCTTTGTATAAATTTTGTCAACTATGAGATTGTCATTCTAGTGAGAAAATGTCCTCGGATGGAAGTCAGTTGGGCTTGGTTGTAAATTCATCAGCTTTCATTTGACCCACCGGGTCTGATCCTCAATCCTAATAGTTCCAACAATTGGCCCCTATAAATCTGGTCTTACTCTCAATTGCCATCTACACTTCACTCGTTGCTACGCTTCTGCTTTTCGTCCTTTTCCTATCCCAAATACCACCTGGAGCTCTCTGTACAGTGTAGAGTCTTGAAATTTAATACTCTGTAGCATATGATACGAGCGCCTTGCCGTCGTGATTGTCATGACGACTCACTCAAACAGCGGGCGATCGAGATGTTGCCAGAACACAGCTCTGGGTAGAGCATGGAAGGTATTGTAGCGGATGCCGGTTTCTACAGCGGCGCACAACCAGAGCCCGTTTCTCAGATGGCTGACTGGCTTATCAGACAACCAATTTGCCGGATTACGTGGGGCTTGCTTTCGCAGCCGTGTGTTGGGGTCTGGTATGTAACCTTTGGGCATGTAGCCCGGATGAGTGAGAGGGACTGCTGAGCTCACACTTTCACCAAGATTGTCGCCTTCGTCAAGCCATTCCATGCGCTGTTCTTTGTCAACGATGTAAGGATATCGTTCCCATTCGCAGAGGTTGAGCGTGTCTCTGTCCGTGAGTCTTTTCTTGTGTCGAATTCACAGTTGGGCAGCAACGTTGCCTATGATCACCACAGTTTACTCACAGATATGGGGTACCCTTAACAGCCTGGAACATCATATACGCCCTATTTGTGCCGTTGAGCGTCCTGCTACTGGTAAACTTCTTCGCGCGCTCGTCGGCCGCCAAGCACGAGGCCACCTACCTCGCCTTCTTCATCTCCATCGCCCTCTCCCAGCTCCTGACCGACATCCTCAAGAACGCCGTTGGTCGGCCTCGCCCAGACCTTCTCTCCCGCTGCGTTCCCTCCGCCTCCGCCACAACCACCAAACCAGTCGACATCACCGCCTGCACCGCCCCGGACAGCCGCGTTCTCCAGGACGGCTGGCGATCCTTCCCCTCCGGCCACTCCTCCTTCTCCTTCGCCGGCCTGGGCTTCCTCGCGCTCTTCCTCTCCGGCCAGCTCGGCGCCTTCCGCCTGGGCACCCGCGACCTCGGCCGCGCCCTCGTGTGCTTCACCCCGCTCGTGGGCGCCGCCCTCATCGCCATCTCCCGCTGCGAGGACTACCGCCACGACGTCTACGACGTCTGTGTCGGCTCCGCCATCGGCATGACCGTCGCTTACTGGAGCTACCGGAGACACTGGCCCCGGCTCTCCAGCCACCGCTGCGACGAGCCCTACCCCCGCGGGAGCATCGCCGCCGGCAGAGAGCAGCAGGGCGACGCAGCTGCGGCGGGCTGGCAGCGCGTCCGGGACGAGGAGGAGGGTGCTGTTGATGTAGGCTACGAGATGGAAACTTTGCGGGAGAATCGAGGCTGACCTTTCTCCCTTTGCTTTACTTGAATTTAGGCGTAGGTTTGACAAAAGTTGCGTTGGGCGGCAGTGGATTCTGATTTCTGAGGAAACCGGAAGAACGGCACATTCCAGATATTAGAGGAATGGGTAAGAAGGAACTCATCTTGGAAGAATTGGGAATCCTTGGTGTTATGCTCGACAAGCAGATAGCTCAAATGGGTGAGAAATCTACCCGTCGAAGATGACACCAAGGATTCTCATTTCTTCCTCGATGCGTTCCTTCTCATTCAGTCCTTCGATATCTGGAATATGTTGTTCTTCTGGTTTCCTCGGCTTGCGCACTGCCCTATTTGCGTTCTTTGCATGTCATTCTTAGGGATGAATGCTCGTCTATTGGTGTGTATTTCTACATATACTTGGCTGGGTGTCAGGCGTATTTGCTTGTGGTGTGCAGTTGCTAGGTGGGCTGAGCATTTCGGGCATTTTGGATAATGCATTAGCATTCCGTCTTTGGGATTCAAAGTACATCAATTCACAGATCATGCATGCTGTATCGTCTTGATCATTTTGATTTGGTCGTTATTTCTTACATGGAGCCATCCATGCTAATTAGGACGATTTCACTTTCCCAAACCCTTGACGGATCGTGTTGTCATTTCCTAGTGAGCGCCTCTGTCTATTTCTCCTCAGTATCCTCGGGCTTGGCCAGGTCATTCTTCTTCAACAGCTCATTGATCTCCTCTGCACTCCAGAGTCGGTGGTAGATCTTGCCATCCTCGGTCTGGCCTATCGTCGCAAACTCGACTGCAAGATAAAATGTTAGCAAGTAGATCCATTAGTGTTAGAAAGTGAATGTCTGGTAATCCGGGGGAGACGCACTCTTCTCGCTGCTCAGCTTTGTCGAGTCCATGGTCTTGCTAAGTACCTTGACCGCCATGCCGCATGCCTCTTCCAGCGTGCAGTCCTCCTTGTAATCCTGCTTCAGAAGACTCTGTGCGCTCGCATTGTTGGCACCCGTGCTGGTTGCTTTCCAGCCACCGTAGTTCCCAGAGGGGTTGCTGAGGTAGAGCTGGAATTGCCGCCGGGGGTCCCAGCCAGCATAGATGAATGACACACCGAATGGTCGGAGACCACCGTGCTGAGTGTAGCCCTGCTTAAGATCACAGAGTCGGCGGACGAGCTGTTCGCAGGGTATGTCTTCGTTGTATGTGAGGAGATATCGTTGAGCGGCCTGTCGGGCGTAGTTGATCAGGATGTTCGCATCGGCAGTCATACCGGCCACGGCGCAGATCATGTTGCTGTGTTTTATTAGCTACGAAATGTGTAGACTTTGGTGATGTGAGTAACTAACTCGTTCAAAATGTAGAGCTTCTCTGCAGATGTGTCCTGCTCCAGCAGCTTCGATGTAACCTTGCGCTCAGCAGCAAGGACGATGCCATCCTTGGCAAGGATTCCGATGGCAGTTCCGGCGTGGGAGATGGCCTCTAGAGCATACTCGACCTGGTATAATCGACCCTCGGGGGAGAAGATGGTGGTCTATTGATGATGATTAGCTTCTGAATTTGGAGATGGTGGGAGGTGCACCCTTGGGCGGGCAGTTGAATCGACGCACTCTGGAATCGTAGCGGCGAGACATTGTGAGATATTTCTGCCGACGATTGACTTGAAGAAATATGGACGACCCGGAAGCTTGCTTGATGTTGAGGCAGTCGGCGTCGTGGGACAAGGGTGGATGATAGCGTCGGTGTGGTGGAGGGGAGGCTTCAATTCTTAGATCCGGGTAGGTCGTGATACAGCTCCAGGCACGGCCGCCGCGTACTTTCCAGCTGTTGCACAGCTCTAGGTTCCAGGTCGTCATAAGCCATAATGCCTGATTTACACGGGGATTAGCCGGCGGAACAGCTGTGGCTGGTGGAAGATGTGGCGGGGAATGTGATGTGGCTGATGCGTGTGTAGCTAGTGGCGTCAGCCCGTTAGAACAATTACATCAGCATGCGGGTGAACAATGTTCCTCCAAGGTATTTGCTCAACACAACTACGCGAGCGTAACAGGACAGAGGTCTATTGTCCCTGAAATCAAAGTTGAGAAGTGCGGCATTGTAGATGAAACGTAATAATCTTTCCAGAAGCGCTGCTCTTGTAACCAGCCCAGGTTGTTGTAGAGGTACCTCGGCTACCTTGGATACATTGGGTGGTACCTCCCTGGTCTGGACACGGCTCTTGCTTTCCACTTCCGTATCGGGCGCCTGACTGAGCAAACGCCATGAGGGAAGGAGCGATTAATTGCTACCAAGGGAAGGAAGGGAGCTCTGCCAACCTCGCCTCCACTTTCTGAACAGTCTTTGGCCTCCTCCACACAAATCTCTGAACTTCCCCAATGCCACCACGCCAAAAGGAGGCGATCCTCGAGGTCCTTCTTCCGTATTCCCCAACCTTCCATCTAACATAGATTCTCCCCTTCACGCCGCTCCGTCCCCTCTGCAGCATTGCGCCCAGGTCCGCGTGCTGGCCGCAGCCTGCCCTCGCCCGTGCGACACACCACACCCTGACGTGGGCCGTAACCGCACCGCGCACCCGCGCCAACGCGACCTTTTCCCCTGCCCCAGCCCAGCCACGCAACGACCAACAAACTCTTGCGCACGTCCTGGCTGCTCCTATCCCGTGAAGTCTGTCGTCCAGGTTGTGCGACAGAAGAGTGCTTGACAGACAGGCGCGAGTAGCAGATTTCGTGTTTTCCGACCTCTCCCCTCTACACAAGCTAGCCGGGGCCACTAGACCCAGCACCCAAGATAGCCCACTTGGAAGACAGAGCCTTTCCTGGTTGCATTTTCCTGCTTTGGAGGGAAACAGGCAGTACAGTCCTGGTCGTGATTTTAGTCCTGAAGTAACCTCTTCTTGAACCATTCCCGTAAACCCATGCTCCCAAGGCAGCGCGCCTCTGTTGTACAGCAGTAGATCTGAAGCAACTGTTCGCCTGCGACTCGGCAAGCTGCGTGCCCGGCACCAAGGCAATCAACCGCCCCGTCGCGCAACATCCTGTGCCGCGCCGCGCTGCGCAAACGCTTTGTACTCGCGGATAAGTACAGCGATCAAAAGAAAATACCAAAATCATGGCAGGTAAGCCTACTGTTTGCACGCGACCCCTCCCTTCGGCATCACACTCCCCGGCGCGGTCTGCTCATCCTCGTGTGGTTGTCTGCGCGGATCTGCCCATTGCTCCTCAGAATCCATCATCTGGAACAAGCGCGATGCCTACCACCAGAAGCACACACAAGGCGAAGGCGAAAGCAACAGCTAACGTGAAGGTAGCCGCCGACGCCGAACCACGCCGTTCTGTACGGACCACCAAGGGCCAGCACACGAAATCGTTTGACGAGCTCGAGACCCCGCCCACGAAGCGTCGCCAAACCAAGAAGTCAAAGAAGGTCCAAGAGCAACAAGAGCCAGAAACAACCCCAGAAGAGCCCGAGGAGATCATCCGATGCGTGTGCGGTGCCACAGAGCAAGACGAAGACTCGGGTGAAGCTTGGATTAGCTGCGAACAATGCCTGGCCTGGCAGCACAACGTTTGTGTTGGTGTCAGCTCGTTCGAAGATGAGATCCCTGACCATTACTGGTGTGAGCAATGCCGCCCGGAAGACCACAAGGAGCTCTTGGAAGGGATAGCAAGAGGCGAGAAGCCATGGGAGGCCAGGCGCAAAGCCCACGAGGAAAAGGAGGCCCAAGAGTCCAAAAAGAAAAAGAAGGGAGGCCGAAGAGGCAAGGGGAAACGAGCCGCTGACCCGAAAGACAAGGGCAAGGAGAAGGAGAAGGAGAAGGAGAAGGAAAAGGAAAAGGCCCAGGATGAGCGACAAAGATTAGAAGCCGAGAAACAGAAGGAGAAGGCGCAACAAGAGGAACAGGAAAAAGAGCGCCAACGTCAAGAAGAAGAAAAAGAACGAGAGAGGCAGAGAGAAATAGCAGCAGAGAAGGAAAAAGCTCGAGTGAAAGAGGAACAGATGGAAAGGGAGAAGGCTGAGGAGGAGAAAAAGGCAAAGGAACAAGAAGAAGAGCGTGCAAGGGAGATTGAGAAGCAGAAGAAGAAAGAGCAGGAACAGGAGCTGGAGCGGCAACGACAACTCGAGATCGAAAAGGCAGAGGCAGAGGCAAAGGAAAGAGAGGAGCAGGAATCCGCTAAAGCAAAGGCGAAGCCCTCTCCAGATGCTGTCGCTGAAGCCCCCGCGGAGACGACTGGCAAGGGAAAGCGAAAGAACCGGGAAGGCTCACAAGACGCGGATGGAAAGGTAAGCACTCCATTCAAGATTTCCGAAGCACAATTTCCTGCGACATGAGCTGATACAGGATATAGCCACCCAAGGTCAGGCGTGTATCTGCTGAGCCAGCTGCCATTAAGCCCCAGAAGTATACGGCACCAGAGAATATTCCCGAGACAATCAAAGAGCTCCCTGGCACCCGCACTGGGCCCGGCAAGGCATTGAAGAAGTCTATTCTTCATGTCTTGTCAGACATGGCAAAGCATAAGAGACTCCAAGTACCGGAAGGGGAGACGGTGGACAACATGGCCGAAAAGTTGGCACTTCAGATCGAACGGGCAGTCTACGACACACATCCAGGCATGGCCAAGGGACAGAAGGAATACAGTCAGCAGATAAAGTCGTTGACGTTCAACCTGAAGAACAACCCAGAGTTGGTTCGTGGACTGCTGGAAGGTGTACATACTCCTCCCGCGCTGGCTGTTATGACATCTGACCAGTTAGCCTCTGCCGAGTTGCAGCGCCAGACAGCCGAGATGAAGGCGAGGGTTGAGAAGCAGTCAATACTGCTAACACAAGACTCGGGACCCAGAGTGCGACGGACACACAAGGGCGAGGAAGTTGTTGAAGACGATAATCTACCCAACGCCAACGAGGAACCAATGCCGCTACCGCCAGGTGGCGGAGCAGCTACACGGCCCATCAAGGATGAGTCTGTTGATGCAAACGACCAGATCCACCCACCAGGATCTCCTCAAAGAGATGACAACCAGCCTCAACACTCGCCTACCCAGTCCAATTTCGACATCGGCAAGGTTTTCTCCAGCGTGCGCTCGCCTTCCGTCTCCCACCCCCGGCGTCCGTCAGCGCCCGTGTCTCAACTTACTGGTCCTGGCGAGGATCCTGATGTGGACCGCATGCTTCAGGATGAAAATGATTCGCCGCCTTATTCGCCAACAGAGGAAGCACAGGACCCTGATGTCGTCTGGCGCGGAATGCTGGCCATGAGCACCATCGCCAACTTTCAAGCAACCGCCAAACACATTGGAGGCGCCAACTTCAGCTCCATTGGGCCCTGGTCCAAACTGATACCCCAGCGAATGAGCGTAGCTGGTCGCATTCAGCAGCAGAACGCGGTCGAGTACCTCTGTGGCCTGCGGTATAGCAGCTATACGGATGTCATTGTTGTCAACCTTGAGCCCGCCACCCCTGAAGCTCGCCCAGAGTTCACGGCGATGATTGAGTATTTTGCTAGCAAGAAGCGATACGGTGTTGTCGGCGACAAGGTAGCTGGAAATGTCCGCGATACGTACCTGGTCCCGGTTCTGGCTGGCGAGGACAACTATCCTGAATTCATGCTGAACTTGGCCGACAATCATATCCCCAAAACCCGAACTGAGCCCATGCTGCTCGCGGTCTTTGTTTACCGTAGTGATCCTACCGCACTCAAGCTCACCACGCCGCCTACACCATCCAACGCATCAGCGACGCCAACGCCAACACCACAAGGCAGCGGTCCCCAACGCAGCCAGTCGGTGTCTGGACCCGCGTTTTCTCCAGCAACGCCTCAGACGACCCATGGCGGCTTCAATGCGGCTGCCCATCCTCAGACGCCGGTGCCCATCCCGCAGCCTCCATACACCCGCCCGCCGCCATCCGGCTCGCCTCCCGCTGTCCCAGGACAGCTCGCACCTCAACATGCGCCCCCAGTACAAGGACAAGTCCCTGTGCCGCAACCACCACAAGCGCAGCACCAGCAATATACCCAGGCACATCCTGCCCAACATCCACACCCGCAGCAGGCACACCAGCAACAACCAATACCCCCTCAGCAGCAGCCGTCGCAGATGTCGGAGGCACAGCGTCATCAGGCGCAGCAGCTTGGTCAAGCCATGGCTCACGAGGTGCTCGGACCGCAGTATATCAGTGCGCCGACGGCCCAGTTTCTCATCCCTCAGGCATGGCAGATGTCTCGAAAGGAATGGGAAGTCATCAAGAAAATATACGAGAGAGATCCCAGAGCGCGGGACGATTTACAGTATCTGGGTGGGTTGCTGGATAAGGAGCCAAGGTCAGCTGGGGCACGATAGGTTCTTGAAGCCGCGCATGACTTTGAATTGTTTCATATGACTGCTGTTAGGCAAGGAGGATGTAACATTTAGCTTAGCAGGAAGAGCCATTTTTAACGCTCCTTTGCGAAGAGGAAAAGGAGCTGGTTTGGACACTTGGCGTTATGGGGTATAGTTATCTTGTCTATCCGCCCTTCATCTTCTAACTTTGGGCTCATGTTTCCGCTTTATGTTATAACTTCATATACCCGGCTTGGAGGAGGGGAACTATTGTTTGGAGGAATGGGACGTAAAAGATTGCCCGTTCGTTATGA